CCACAGCAGACCGTATGCTGAGTAAGTCTGTTTGTCTATTTAGCGGCCACTATTAGCCTCATTTATGCAGTGGTATGCTGATTCACAATGTTTCACAGCATAGAGAGACGCCTTCGAGCGGAGAAATATGGCCCTATTCTTGATAATATGGACTTTCTTTCTCGCGCGTATTTTGAAGGGCACCCCGATGTCTGCCGGTCTGAACCGATGGATCACGAGAGTACGTCAATTCAGGCATGGAAGCGTGATCTCATCTCATGAATGATCGCCTTTAGGCTGGGCGGAAATAAAACCCTCTATACTCGATCTCCTTCGTTGTATTGAGAAGGAGCAGGTGGCTCGGAGGGAGAAAGCCAAAGATGACGATAACAGCGATGAAGACTGGAACGAAGAGTGGGTAGGTGACGATGGGAGTGCCGATGAAGCACTCGGAACCGATGCCGTCGACAGTGACGGTTATTGATGGCTTCCCTACAAGTCACCTCTGCGCGACTTGCGGGGAGACATAGTAACACCAAACTCTGGCGAGCAGGGGTTTATTTTCAGACCCGTATTCATGACTTTTAATTAGCTTGTTGTATCACATCGTTTAGTCGTTTGTCGCTTTTGTAATGTCTGGTAATTCTGTGGCGAACCGATTTCCGTACAGTCGTCTCCCGGGATAAAGCTTTGCGAGAGGAAATGTGATATCTAAAGTACTCCACTCCAGCACTAAATATCTATTTCGGGGGTCAGTGTCTTGTAGAAAGAAAGCACAGCGCCTGATGCATGATGGGTTAAGTCCAGGGAGCAATACATCTCACATACAAGCATCAGGAAGTAGAGGATCGATGTCTGTTGGAAGGAGTTCGAACTTCAGCCAAGCGTCCCAATGAGGAGCCTCGACTGCAGTGAATTACGTCAGCGACGACTCAGCGCATCCTGTTGAAGTCTGTCAAGGTCTGATTCTAGTACTTGGGTCGAAACTTGCTATCCCCTTCGGAATCCTCTTACACGGGGAGAGGTGCTGCACGTTGATTCTCTCTCAAATCTTGAAACGGGTGTTGACTGCAGGGGCGAGGTGAGTGTTACTCACGGCTTCGACGATAACCTAGACATGCTTCTTCCATAGCCTTACTCAAGGCAGGTTGAACATGGCGTTTCCATCGCTAACCAGGCGTCATTCCGCCGCTTCGCCGTCGGTGTCGCTGGAAAAGGGAGCATACCGCTTGAGAGGTCCCGCATGGTCTCGAAAACAATCGCTCTCGCGTCCGTTGCCTACGGGAAGGCGAGGATTATCGGAGCCTTCCCAGGTTGGAAACCACCAAACACAGCTAGCTATCCTCACTATCCTACTCGGTTTGGCGACAATTAGCTCTTTCGGTGCAGCGTACTATTTGTATACCACGAGGTGGGCTCATCTGCGAGCGTCTGGTTCGGATGGTTCGGACGGTTCTCCTCAAGTCGTCCTTTTTGATGCAAGTCCTTCCGGTGTAGAGCGTGAGGCGATGGGCGAAAATGACCGCTTTCTTTCATATCTGCCCCATAGCGGCTTTAACAATCAACGTATTGCTTTGGAAAATGCTCTCGTGTTATCCCGTATGCTGAATCGTACTTTGCTTTTGCCTCCTGCCCGTCTCGGCAACAAACCTCTGCCTTACATGGATTTTGAGAAGCTATCTCACTTCGTCTCGTTGTCAGGGAAAGAGCGGGCTCGTCGTTGTGCGTCCATCCCAACTTCAGCCCCTGTACCTTTGGAATGTTTCGACTACACACTCGTTTCATGGTATTCGCTCATGAACCTATCCTCACTGCAATCGGAACAAAGTATTTTCGAGAGATGGGATCTCAGCGCAGCCTGGCTTGAACGGATCGGCGTTACCCAGGACGATATTTACACTCTGGCGGGCTCTCGACTGTACCACTATCGCTTCGTAGACTCGAAATCGGAGCTCTCTGGGGACCAAAAATACACGGAATCCGTCAATATTGCTGACTTGGCTCAGGTACCATCGAGACTGATCCAGATTGGGACTCTCTTTGGGTCGTCCCGTCTTCGTCTCAGGCAGCCAGGCAACTTGGCCCTCCGAGGCGATATTCGGCGAAGAATGACTCTCTCAAACGTCCTCCTACACCGTATAGCGGCCGATATCGGCGACGCCATGGGCGGCGTGTATCTAGCGGCCCACGTACGCGTCGGAGACGGGGTATTCAGCGAACGTCAGCACCACAACGCCAGGCGCATTTGGTGGAAACTACTTAGTCAGGCCTTGGAATTCGACAATGAACGCATCAGTGCTCTGGAAAATCGTTTGAGTAACGCAAGCTGGCATTGCACAGGGTCCATCCCCGTTATCTCGCCTGACCCGCCAGCACTCAAAGTTCCTCGACCGGCTCTATCTCCGATGCCTTCTTCCTTCCGTCCTCGCTACTCATGTCGTGGATCCACGGAGGGACTCTTTGACCCGAGGCTCGCAGTCCCTCTCTTCGTATCCACCGATGCTCCCGACCCTGCCAATCACGCACTCATCCGTCCCTTGATGTCGACGTTCCCCTGTACATTCTTCCTATCCGACTTTACCTCAGAGCTGGCGCCTCTAGACCCTATACAAAACCCCTACGACGGAGCCTTTCTCAAGCCGTTCCTCCTCCCTCTTATTGAAGCAATCATCGCTGGCAAAGCGAGGTACGTAGTTGGCACGGACGGGAGCACTTTCAGTGCGTATGTCCAGGATGTGCTGTGGAGAGCCTATCATGATTGGGAGATTGTTCAAAGAGGATGAAGTATGTTATGTCACTTGTTTTGGCGGGGCTCGTTACGACCATTGATACTCCCTTGCCCTTAGGTAGTCTGTTTCTCGTCTCGGCGTGTACCGCGTATGTTATCTCTGCGTTTGACCACTGTATTTTAGATGTCCTATAATCTTTGTCACGCCCATCGCACTCAGTCGTCTATAACGAACGAGAACCAAACTGTTTAATTGTTCTCTTCCTTGTCGTTTGATCTGATCAATGGTACGCTCCTAGATTGACTCCCTGTAAGACTGAAGTTCGACTTTATTTATTAGGGCCCGTCGGAGCGTCGTGAGTCCGCTTTGTTTCTATCCTTGCAACGCTCTCGGCGCTGCCAAGTGCATTTCCTCCATCCAATTTGGACACATCGCATCTCTTGGTGATGGTGAACTCTGCTCGTGCGACGTCGGGGATCATGCGGCTCCTGTCGACTGAGGGTAGAAAGTGCTCTTCCCTGGTATGATTACGCTCTGGATACCACAGTAGGCGCTGTGCTATCCGCGCGAGTCTGATCGCCGCTCTGATGGCTTCACGAAGCTGTCCTCGCCATTTGAATTCGTCGTTGCTGACGTGGCGATCTTTACTCTACAGTCCCCTTGCGAAGAAGTCGCACCCAAGCCAATCCAATACAATGAACTGAAACAAGGCTATTTTCAGGCCAGGGTGGACGGGCTACATGGAGTAGTCCGTTCCGCAGCGTTATGCCATACTACCTCCAGTGATATATGGAAGAGTTGAACAACATCGACTTGTTAGGGAGGTGGCTGGCAGGGTCGCATTTTTCGATGCCAACTTCCGTGACTGACGGTCCGTCTGCCTTCAGTATCTACCTGATTGCTGATCATTCTCCCCACTGACCGAGTCACTTTTCTGGACATTCTGCTCTTTTCAGCTTGAACCAGGACACATGGGTGGCACGCCCGCTGCGCATCGCGTACACGCTCCGTCGGATCCATGGCGAGGGCGACGGCTTTGCCCAGGTTATACTCAAATGAACCATCACTGACGTGGAGCGATATATCCTCTCCGTTCTCTTGAAAGAAGCCAGACAATCAAGGTTCGCCGACGGAGGAGCCACGCGTAGGAATGAGGCTTGCTATGTACTGACGAAGACAGAGCTCATGAGGGCGATCGGGCACTCGATACCCCGGTGATACACAACTTTCATTCCTCGTTGATGGTGGTGCGATCGACCTGCAATACATGCTGTTTGCTTAAAGAGGGTGATTTCATCTGTGATGTTGATGTTACCCATGATGTCTTGTCTCAACGCGCTCATTCATGACGCATGGTACATTTCCGGCTGAACGTGCTCATTCATCCTAACCACAGGTTATGATACCAAGCAAACAATTGATTCGAAGAACTGAGCTACTGCTATGGACAGATTATTGCCGATGTTACTCCACCTACTTCCTGCCTCGTTTATGAAAGCCTATTGAACCGGGTCAGTACCCCCTGTCATGTAGTCAGAATGCAGTACTTGAGGCCCTTTCGGATAGAAATTCCTTGTTTATTGGGCGCAAGCGTTTGTGTTGCCACTGTGCCGTCCTCTTACTATCTTTTTCTCCGAGCGAGCTGCGGGAGGCCCCGATGGGGCCAGCAAGCCGGCTTGCTGTCCTACCCGGGACAGGGTTACAAAGTCTACGTAGCCCGATGACAAATGGGCTATGGGCCATGGGCTATAGGGCTACGTGGACTTTGTGTCAGCCGGCCGGGTATTCTGAAGAGCGGGCGATCGCGGAGGCGGGACCAGTCGAGGAAGCTTGGTGTACGTGTCGGTCACCCACCCGTGGTAGATGTCGTTCGAACGGATTTCGTTGAGGTGGGATAATTTAGGATTGGAGAAATCAGCCAACGGGCCGTGAAACTTTGAAGGACGAGGGTATAGCCGGAATCGACTTCAAGTTGAGAGAGCGCCACGACGGGGTCAGAACGCGAAGGAACGTCCGGTGTAGAAGCTCTGAGGTCGATGACAGAGAAAGGATCGCGCAGCGTAATACGAATTGCCCAATGCACAGTGGTTGAGGAGCGAGCAG